CAGAGAATTAGAGCCCCTTTGTTTGAACAAGAGAAATGTTTATGAACTCAAACTTTTTTAAAGTCTTTGTGTATTTAGAACATTGGGAATGCATGTCATCTTGGCTTGCTGCAAAAATCTTTGCATTTTCCCTTTATAATTCTCACAGCTGTACAAAAATCAAGTTGGCTGAGAGTTTCTTTGACATGTTATATAGAATGCATCCCTTCATAGTTGCTAGGGTCAGAAAGGACCTGAGCAGATCATCGAGTCCGGCCCCCTGCCATGGGCAGGAAAGAATGCTGGGGTCAAACGACCCCGGCTAGGTGTCTGTCTAGGCTCCTTTTGAAGACTCCCAGGGTAGGAGCGAGCACCACTTTCCTTGGAAGTTGGTTCCTGATCCTAGCTGCCCTGACTGTGAAATAGTGCCTCCTGACATCTAGCCTGAATCTACTCTTTGTCAATTTATAGCCGTTATTCCTTGTTACTCCCAGTAGTGCTCGGGGGAACAGGGACTCTCCCATTGCCTGCTGGTCCCCCTTGGTCAGTTTATAGATGGCCACTAGATCCCCTCTTAACCTTCTCTTGTGGAGGCTGAACAGGTTCAGGTCCTGTGTCCTCCCCTTGTAGGGCCTGCCCTGCTGACCCCTGATCATGCGAGTGGCCCTCCTCTGGACCCTCTCGATGCTGTCCACATCCCTCCTGAAGTGCAGCGCTCAGAACTGGACACAGTACTCCAACTGCGGCCTTACCAAGTTTTGGTTGCATAGAGGGGGAGGATCACCTTCTTGGACCTGCTCATGTTGCATCTGTGGATGCATTACAAGGTGCTGTTAGCCTTACTGACTGCATCCTCACATTGGCGGCCCATGTTCATCTTAGAGTCAATAATGGCTCCAAGATCCTTTTCTGCCTCTGTGCTGACGAGAAGGGAGTTCCCCAGCCTGTAGGTATGCTGCTGGTTCTTCCTCCCCAGCTACAGTACCTTGCACTTGTCAGTATTGAAAGCCATCCTGTTCTCATCCGCCCGCCCCTGTAACCTGTCCAGATCTAATTGCAGCCTGTCCCTCTCCTCTAGTGTGCCCACTTCTCCCCACATCTTAGTGTCTTCTGCAAATTTGAACAGGGTGCTTTTTACCCCCTCATCCAAGTCACTGATGAAGATGTTGAACAGTGTGGGCCTGAGGACTGAGCTCTGGGGAACCCCACTGCCCATATCCCTCCAGGTCGAAAATGACCCATCCACCACCACTCTCTGGGTGTGGCTCTCCAGCCAATTAGCAACCCATCTGACCGTGTAGGCACTGACACCACAGTCACCTAATTTTTTACTGAGAATGGGGTGAGAGACCATGTCAAAGGCCTTCCTAAATTTCAGAAAGACTGTGTCCACCGCGACACCTGCATCTAAGGATTTTGTGACCTGGTCGTAGAAGGCCACCAGGTTGTTCTGGCAGGACCTTCCTCTAATGAACCCATGTTGGTTGCCCCTAAGCATAATCTCCCCTGCTGGTTCCTTAAAGCAGTGGTGCTCAACTTTTGTGTTGGGTGGGCCAGATGGGTGGTAGCCAGTCCCTCTGTGGGCTGGAGGTCCTGATCTGACCTGGAGGGGCAGGGGAAGCATGGCCTGGCCCCAGCCGGGACCTGCAGGGGCAGCAGAGGGGGTGTGGCCCTGCTCCAGACTGGTCCCAGGGTTTGGGATTATTAATTGCCACTGCTCCTTCCAGTAGATTTCCTAATCTGACCCGTGCCTTAAAGTACAGCCACCTTTTAAAGAAGAGAAGTCGGTGATTACAGCTATTGCCAGCAGAAATCCTCTGAACAGTATTGAAATAAAGAAAGCTCTTTTATTTTCCTTCTAGTTTGTCATTGTGTTGCACACTGCTGTGATTAGCATCTGACTTTTACTAGCTGAAAAGAAGCATAGTGTCAGGTGTTATCATTCATTTTATTTTTATCATGTTCTAGCAAATTGCCCGGCAAGAATCCTGGGGCGGCGGGGGGAAAGAACACGACAGAGGCCTGCGTTTGCTGCTGGCCCCCGCCCCCCCAGCCTGGGGCTGCAGGTGCTCTCCGCCTTGGCGCTTTGGGCTGGGGCTGTTCCCTCCCCCACCGCTTTGGGCCAGGTCCTGAGCTGCTCCCTGCCTCCTCCCCCTCCCCACCCCTCCTCTCTGCTTAGGGCCGGTGGCAGCAGTCACAGCAGTTGCAGTGGGGGCTACAGTGGGGCTCAGCCACTGGTCACCCCCCTCCCCTTCCCGCTTTCCTCCCTCTGCTTTCCACACCCCTCCTTTCCTCCCCTCTTCCCTTTGTCCCTGGCTCCGCCCTCTCCCCTGCCGCCTCCCTCTTCCCTGCCGCCTCCCTCTTCCCTGCCGCCTCCCTCTCCCTGCCGACTGTTGCTGGGGGGTGCTCCAGCCCTTGGCTCCAAGGAGTATGGGGCCGAGCCAGCACTGTTGGCTTCACCCCCCCGGCTCCAGCCCCAATTCCCGCTGTTATGGCAGTGTTCTGCCATGTGGGGTGGGGCGAGGCCAGCGTTGCACAGCCAGTACCCCATGCCCCCGTCACCTCCAAGGGGGGGGGGGAAGCCCAATGTGGCTGGTTTTGTTCCCCCCCCCCCACTCTGTCCACTCTGTGATTGCTCCGGTCCCCATCATCCCCCCTGCCTCCAAGGAGCAGGGTGGGGAGTTGAGGCCCCCCTGCTCTGGCCCCTTAGTCCCCACTGTCATGGCGGCGCTCCACCATGTGTCTCTCTCTGTCCAGAGCACTCTGATTGGCTGCTAAGGCAACCAATCAAAGTGCAAATAAAGCATTACAGACAGACAGACTAAAGTTTTTATAATATTAGAATTCTTTCTTTTGTGTGTTTGAATTTGTCATTGGGAAACTTTGTATTTAACTGCCATCTCTATTCTTATTTTTAGTAGAACTGGCTTTTCTTTATGGTCTGTTGATCAGTACAGAGTAGTTATTGCACTCTATGAACCCAATACCCTTTAAATTGTCACTTGCTTACTGTACAGCCTTCAACTGGACTTTTTGATGGCTTCTAGAACGAGTAATTTTTTTTTGTTTTTAAGTAATTTCTAAATAATTTCTTATACAGGTGTGGTTTAAATAAGAAATATATTGCAGTGATGCTTGTTTTAATAAATTATGTGATAAAGTATAGCTATTTTTTTGCATTTTTGAAAATGAGATGCTCTGTATAATGTAACCTTCAGAAGTGTAGAACCCATCTGTTCTTTTCATTAAAAAATCGATAATCTTTTTAGCATTTAAGGGGTTGGTTACATACAGCATGTACAACTTCCATTACAAAAAAGTCTCTTAAAATGCATACCTAAAATGACACTCTGAAGTGAAAAAATCCTTTAAGTTATGTGGTTGATCAGTTATTGCATTCATTTTAATCAATAAAGATATGTATGTGTGTATATATAAAGGCATGATATGATATAATATTACATTTTCTGATCATTGCTGGTTTGGGCTGAAAAAAAATAAGTATTTCTCATCAGAGAAGAGTATAGAAAATATGTATAATTTCTCGGGAAGCTTTGGTCGCCGATTTGATTTGGCGGAGGTTCAGCCCTATTTTGGCAGCGAATCTCCGAATCCCAATTGAATCGGGAGACCCATTAAAAGGTCCAAATCGAATCTGAAGCCTCTGAATCAGTTTGGAAAAGATTCAGAGGGATTCGGAGATTTGGATCAGCCGGGGAGAGGCAGGCACAGCTGGGTGGCTTCAGGTTCTCCCATGGCTGCTCTGGCTGTGCCTGCCTCTCCCTAGGCGGGGGGAGCCATGGGAGAAGCCCCCATGGCTGCCCTGTCCGGCCTCAGCCTCCCAGCACTTAAAAGCCCTGCACTCGCTGGCTGTAGAAAGGTCTGTGGGGGTTCTGGGGCCTCCTGGCAGAGCCCCACCCTGCACAGCCCCTGCTCCCTGATTGCCCCGTCCCTGATGGCCCCCCCTCCCAGCCCCAGCAGTCTGGGAATAAAAAAACATGTACTCACTAGGAGTAGCAGCAGCTGTGGGGGCTCTGGGGCCATGTGGCAGAGCCCCCCTGCGCAGTCCCTGCTCCCTGATCTTCACCTCCCAAAAATAAAAAAAAAAAAAAAAAAAAGCCCCACACTCACCAGATGAAGCAGCAGGGATCAGGGACTCTGAGGGCTCATGGCAGAGCCGCTTCCTTCCTCCCCAGCGCAGTGCAGTCACCTGTAGCCCAGCAGCACTCAGCCCCAGCGGCCCCAACTCCCAGGCAGTACACGGTGCCCTGCCAAGCTACGCTGCACCCATATTATGGGGCAACTGCCGCATGGGTGCCAGGCAGTGGGAGGCGATCCCCACTGCCCCGCGCTGCACAGGGGGGCTCTGCCACAAGCCCTCAGAGGCCCTGATCCCCACTGCTGCAGCCAGGGGCTTTTTTTATCTTAATTGCTGGGATGCTGGGCCGGGGGGGTGGGCATCGGGCAGCGGGGGTTGTACAGAGTGGCTCTGCCACATGGCCCCAGAGCCCCCACAGCCACTGCTACTGCTGGTGAGTGCAGGGCTTTTTAAATTTTTAAAAAAAAATTTTTAAGTGCCGGGAGGCTGGGGCCGGACAGCTATGGGGGCTTCTCCCGCAGCTTTCCCCGGCAGATCCTAATCTCCAAATCAGCCGCCAAATCAGTGCCGAATCTCCAATTCAGATTCGGCAGAATTGAATGGGGACACTGATTTGAATTACTGTCTCCCAAATCCAAATTGAATACTTCTCTATTCACACAGGCCTAATAATTTCCTCTTTATTGCCTCATGGAAACTGAAGAAAGGTTGCCCCTGAAATAAACTTTATATTGTCCTCTTGCCTAGATGTCAGTTCCAAGCTTCTCGGAGTTGCACATTCTTTCAAGCATAGGTTGCCTGTGAGTACATAGTATTTGTAGGCTTGTTAATAGTTAGACTGAAAAAAATATTTTGAGTGCTAGTCTTGATTTTTCATTTAATATTATAGTATCATATTGATCTAGCATACTTCTCTTTTTAGCTTTTACAAGAAGCTGAAGGGTGGGGTGAACGATTTAGTGAACTAAATGAACAAACAAAAATGTTTGAATCCTCAAAAGCAGATATGGAGGAAGCTTTGAAAAATAAGGAGAGTCAAGTCAAGGTAGGTTAATGTATAAAACAGTGTTGAGTTATATAGCTTGACTTTAATTTTTAGGACCTGGATAGGCACAGCTGGATGGCTTCAGGCTGCTCGGAACTTGCTCGGAACTTGCTTCTTGCAATAACTTTCCTTTACTCTTATTTTCTGTCTTTCTCAGCATGTGGTTACTAATTTCTTATGCTGATGTTTGCTTTTTTTTATAATAAATGCTTTCTGTTACCTCTTTACTAACCACTTGTTGTCAGCGGTGCTTCAGATTCCAGAGAATCTGGCCATACAGGCTTGCTCAGTCTACAGAAAGAGGGATCAATCTTGTCTGAGCTCATGACCATGGACAAGCCCTACTTTCCTCTGATATTGTGAAGTACCTGTAGAGACTTCTCTGGGGCTTACCTTTTGGCAGGTCCTTTAATGGGACATGCAGAATCCTAGCTAAGGAATTACATTGATTAAATTAATGTGAAATGAATAGGGAAGAGATAAAATTTGACTACTGTCCCAATCACATTGTCAGAGTCTTACTGCTAGTATATATTTTACTGTTTTGGTTTTGTGTTGTTTTTATATCGCATGTAGTCACTGACAGAATGCTTATTGAAGATGAAAGACTGGAGCTCAGCAATAAGGGAAGATGATGCCACTGAAGATAGTCACTGGGATACTGATACAAAGGGGGAAACAGAAAATGGAGAGCATCTAGGTACAGTAAAAAGAGCTTTCCACTTCAAAATGAACTATTATTCGGTGAATTATGACAACAAATTCCAGTAAAGCTTGTAGATAGATTAACCTCTTAAATGGTGAAGCAGAATTTCTTAACCCCACTTGCTAATGCATTTTAAATGTGTGCTGGTATACAATACCAACTGCATCCAGCATTGCTGCTGATCTGATCTGTGGTCACCTGGAAAAAAAACTAAGTGTCTATGATAGCATGGTTGGGAACAAAGGAAGTGTTTTATATTAAAACCAAAACAAAGAAAACCAAAACAAAAACATATTTTGGTAACTGAGAAGCCAACATTTATTCCTGTTGCAAACTCATTACAGTGACTCACTAATTGTACTGAAATGTCCCTCTTTCAAAACAGATGATCAACAAAAAAGAACTGTAAAGAAGCTGATCTACGCTGCTAAGGTATGTAGTAAGGTTATGATGGACTGATGATAAAAACTAGAGGAAAGAAAAGGGGAATAAATGAGATATAAAGTAAACTTTAAAAAATGCATGTAATCACACCAGTATATTTAATTTGTATGAATCATTGCAACAATATAAGCAAGGTTTGTGATATCTCAGCATTTTTAAAAGACTGTTGTCAAATCATTTTCTAAACTTGAGAAAAAAGTTTGATATTTTTTTTTTTTTTTAATTATTAGAACATGTGCATTTGCTTTTAGAATCAGAAAATTAGGATTGGAAGGGACATCAGGAGGTCATCTAGTTGAACCCCCTGCTTAAAGCAGGACCACTCCCAACTAGATCATCTTAGCCAAAGATTTATCTAGCCAGTTCTTAAAAACCTCCAAGGACGGAGAGTCCACAGCTTCTCTGAGTACCTTGTTCCAGTGTTTTACTACCCTCCTAGTGAGAGGTTTTTTTCCTGATAGCTAACCTAAACTTCCCATGATGCAACGTGAGACCACTGCTCCTTGTTCTTTTATCTGAAAACAGTCTGGCTCCATCCTCTTTGGCACCCCGCCTTCAGGTAGTTGAAGGCTGCTATTAAATCCCCCCTCAGTCTTCTCTTCTCCAGACTAAACAAACCCAGTTCCTCAGACTGTCATCGTAAGTTTTGTGCCCCAGCCCCCTAATCATTCTTCTGCTGGACTCTCTAATTTGTCCACATTCTTTCTGTAATGGGGGGCTCAAAACTAGACACAATACTCCAGAAGTGGCCTCACCAGCACTGAATAGAGGAGAATAATCACTTCCCTTGATCTGGTGGCAGTGCTGCTACTAATGCAGCCCAGTCTGCCATTAGCCACTTTCACAATAAGGGCACACTGGCTCGTATTCAGCTTATTGTCCCCTGTAACCCCCATGTCCTTTTCTGCAGAGCTGCTGCTTATCCAGTTGGTCCCCAGCCTATACTGGTGCATGGGATAGTTCTGTCCTACATGCAGGACTTTGCACTTGTCCTTAATGAACCACATAAAATTTCTTTTGGTTCAATAGTCCAATTTATCGAGGTCTCTCTGGATCTAAACCCTACCCTCCAGTACATCTACCACTCCCCCTAGCTTGGTGGTGTATGCAGATTTGCTGAGGATACACTCTGTTCCATCTTCCAGGTCACTGATGAAAATAATGAACTAAATTGGCCTTAGGACCATCCTGAACCTGTCTGACATAAATAAAACGTTAGGTAGCTACATATCTCAGCATTAGACATTTAATTTTACAGGCATAATACACTGCTATGCTAAAGAGAGTATTTACTTGGAAAATGAAAACAACTACCAATAGTCTTTATCCTTCCACTATGGTCTCACAATCCGTTTGCTTTTCACTTTTTATATAGTTAAATGCTTGTTTAAAAACCCTGGAAACAGAAAGAAATCAAGTATATTCAAAACTGGATGATGAAAATAAAGCCAAAGAAGAGCTTGCAGGTAATCAAATTTTCATGTTTTGTATGTTGTTTTTTTTAAAGTAATTTGTGTTTTTTTTTTTTTAAATAAAAGAAGATGTTATGTTGATCAGTGTTATCATTTAAGTCAATTTTTATGAGAAAAACATAATAAGTTGTTACTAAAAGAATTATTCTGTTAGAAATCCATTTAATTTGTGTTGAAGTTCCTTAACCCTTTCAAAATTTGGTCTTAAAAAGTAAAGCAGCTAAAACAGCAAGAAATTATTTCATTTATGGAAATGTAACAGTTGTTGCTCAAAATGTATGCTCTTTATCTCTTCAAATTTAACAATTATATTTTAAGAAATGTAAATGCTTTGTAAAAGTTAGACTTAAAAAGGAAACCTTAATTTGAATTTTGAAACATTCTTAATAAGCATGTGGTTTCATTCATGTAGTTATATTGAGCTGAATATAACTTTCTTCTTAAAAAAAAAAGAACTTGTCTCTGAAAGTACAGATTCATCTTTTCCTTTGTACGAAGTCTGAGCCTTCATTTTAAAGAAAATATTTTAAAATAAATGCAGCATTAGATACAAAGTATTGGTAACTAGATGTCTGTTGCCCAAATAATACTGTCAGAAGGGAAACCCTATTTAAATGTTGTGCGGTGGGCAGTTACTTAGATTACTAGTGAATTGCCCATAAAAAATGATTGGAGGGGGGCAAGAGCGTTATGGACAAACAGATGGACTAAGTCAGATAGATATAGATATATATGATTTAACCAGCTTCTTAACTTCACTGAAGTTTCCTGAATTTACTGAAAAGAAGCATTGTTTGAGGCTCTGAAAAAATAGGATGACAGTGCTCATCTAAACCGTTATTTCAGGCTGTTTACTCTGAAGAAATCACTCTGTCAATTTAAAATTGGTTACATTTACAACCAGAAGTGGTGGTATAGAATTTGATTTTTAACACTAAAATTTAAAACTTAGATTATGGATCACAAAATTGCATCCTCTAAAGGAATACAGCTTTTTCAGCCATCCTCTTTTTTTTTTTATAAAAGGTGAAATGGATAAATGGTCAAACCAAATCGAGACCAAAGCAAGTTTCTAGCAAATCTAGGGGTAGAATTGAGAACTTCTGATTCCTATCTTATAACCCACAATGCCACTTTAGTCAGTTTCTGGGTATTTATCAGATTGGGTTTTTGTACATATTGTGTATTGTAAGCAATTATTTTCCTACCCAGTTTCCCAAATCTAGGTCTGATGTCATTTAAAATTGCAAGTCAAGGACTTTTAATGCTTAATTGCTTTCTGAAATGGTTTCATTGTTTCAATTTAGTAAAATGCTCATTGTTCACTGTATATACTTGGCTGTCTCTAACTTTGACAGAACGCATTGAAAACCTCCAAAGTGAACAAGTTTCCTTGCAGTCTGAAAATGTACAATTTGAAAGTGAAGTACAGAAGCTTCAGCAAAAACTTAAAGTAATGACAGAGTTATATCAAGAAAATGAAATGAAACTTCACAGGTATAGGCACCACTATGTTTTTACATTAATGTGTTAATGAAAGATTAAGGGAAATTTGGGAAATTACTGAGGTGTATTTGGTAGCTGTGTTGGTCTGAGACAAAAAGACATACAGAAAACTAGAACTCTTGGTTCCAAAATGATCATTTTGGAACCAAGAGTTCTAGTTTTCTGTATGGGAAATTACTGGGTCTTTTTCAGGACCATATCAGTGAATATTATGGTATCTTATATTGAAAGATAATTATTACATAGCTTACATTAGCCACCAAGTCATAAGGAATCCAGATAAAAAGTATAATAGAAATATAAAAATGGAGAATTTGTAGGAAGCTGGTATATAGCTGAACAAATGACTTGGATAATTTAAATCTAGGAATTTAAAATAGATTGGGAAGAGCAATGATATTAGTCTTACAATTGCTCTGGGTAAAAGGAAATTCTGCTTCGAGATGTTTTGATGGTATACCTTTTTTGTATATTTATTACCCAAATAATGTTTTACTAACTTTTTCAAAGGAACTTTTCACATGCAAAAGTGTCTGTGCTCTGTGATGTATAGTTTGTTTCAGCCTGTTAAACTTCTGACCTTTGTTTATCTACCGTATTGAAAATAAATCCAGGCAAGCAAAAAAACAGCATTTGCAGAAGTAGAATAACATTTTAAAAGTTTGTGATATATGGATAAGCTGGGCTTCAGACAAGGGGAAGAGTGAGAGGTAGTGCATGTAAATATGTTTTAAAAATTGGTCAATTAGGCTTCTAAGCCATGTGAGTGCTTTTGAAATATTTCCAGAAACTGGTTGTGTGTTTAATGCTATCAGTTGATAGAATAGTCATAGAAAAATGTCTTTTACAAATGTTCAAATCCTATATTGATGTTTCTCAGAGAAAAAAAAATTAACAAGCAATTAGAAAAAAACACGTTTATATTATAGAGCAAAAGATGTCAAAGTATAAATAGCCACTAATTTAAACATAAATACCTTAGTATTTTGAAGCAGTTATCCACTGACAGTCTGTTCCGCATCCTGCGCTACATAAATGAATGCATTTTGCACTAAACTTCAAAATAAAAAAAAATAGTAACAAAAAGGCACCCTTCAGTTCATGGTCTCTAAAGTAGAGCCTAGGATCAGATGAAACTTTGGTCAGGTGTGCAACAAAAATATGTAAATAGTTATTTTCTTTCTACTTTGTGGACAATCGACTGCTCTTTTAACAGTGAACTTTATCCTTTCTAGCAGGGACCTAGGAAGCCCCAATATGTTAGATGGGAGGCAGAAAAACAGATACAGAAGGAAGTGATGCACCCAGTGTGTACTCCCACTTGGGAGAAATAGGTGTTTATAGACAGGACTGAGCAAAAACCTAGGGCATCATTAGCATGTCCACCATTAAGCAGCCAAGTAACCAGGAACATTTGTGTAGGAGAATGGTCAGCAGTTCCTGTTATAACCTACATGCTGAATTAGTACTGTGAATGCTCTGCGGAGTTGCAGTGTGTTGTCTGGTTGGCTGGAATGTAGATTTTGTCTTTCTCCAATGCTTGGGTAGTTCCCATCACAGAGCCTCAAAGGTTCTTGGTGAGGATGGTAAGAGATTGAGTTTGTCTAAGGCTTTCTTATTTTTAATAACAACAAAAAAAACCCCAACCTATGATCATTTGCAGAAGCAGTATGTTAACACAGAAAGGACTAGAAATGACCATGCAAATTTGCTTAGCTTACTATTCAGAATATTCTCCTGCTCTTGAAAAGTGTCTTGCTTGTCCTTGTTCTTTTGGACCTTACTATTTTCCAAGTTTTTCATGAAGAATGGCTAATAAATTAGGTGTAAACAAGTAAGAACTAATCATACTACTGTTTTTTCTAAGGAAGCTATTTCTATTACTATGAAAAATGTCACAGGTCACAGTGTTTCTCATTGTTGTTTAAGGTTGTTTTTGAGAAAATAATTGGAGAGCTATAGCTATTGCTTGTTTACCTAACCAAACCATATTGTATGGGCTTTTTTTAAAAGGAGATTAACAGTAGAGGAGAGAGAGCGCTTACGGAAAGAAGAGAAACTCTCTAAAGTAGATGAAAAAATTAATCATGCTGCTGAAGAACTAAACAGCTACAGGTATTTACAGATTTCCTTTGCTGTAATGTTTACAAAATACCACAGAGAGTTAGTAAATATTCCAGTTACAGTGCCTTGAAAATGAATATATTCCTTCAAAACCTTTGTATAATTACATACTACCTTTTTATATAAACAGATTCTTCCCATCAATATGTGATATCAGTATAGATAAAAGACAAACATAAGTCTGTTGGCAAGTTCTCTTGTAACAGGCTGATATTATGAGTTACGTGGGTATTTGACAGGGTTTTTTCATGTAGCATGCTATATACACTGTTAGTAAAGTACTAAATATATGAATGAATAAAATTGGAAAATTAACAGATATATTCAACTTTTTCATTACATTTTAGTATTTTAAATATTCTGTTTGTAGGTGTCCATCTCTGGATGGTTTGCCATTTCACCTAAATGTTATAACTGGGTACAAAGTGTACCAGGTGATCCTTGTCACACCATTTTAGTGTGCAAAATGAGGTGGTGGGTGGGTTTGCTAGCCCTGCTCTAATGGTACCTGAAATGTGTAGTGATTCCTTAAACTTCATATATGCATATATGAATGTAATGGGAGCTTTGAGCACAATTTCATGATTGATTCTTCAGGAGGTTTTGTTGATCAGTTTGATTAACCTGGTTACTGGACTTCTGACAATGCTGCTGGTATGCTTATGAAACAAACAAGTGGAAGTTCAATTTATTCAGAATACCAGCATCTATTCATTTCATGTTAGGACAAGTGTCAACCTGTAGGGCCGTCTTAAACCTTCTAAGACATTACTGGAAACAGTAAAACATTGAATAAATTGTATGCATGTTGGGCCCACTCCATGGGTCTGGTTGACGTGTGCATCACGCTTGGTCTGTAGAGTATGTATGTGGGAAGGTGGGAGAAGCAAAGAAAGGTGTGCATTGGTTCTTATATTTTTCTGATTCTGGAACACATTTTGGTCCCTGGAGCATTTTGCAGCAACTGCCTCAAGTGACAATTTTGGCAGTTAACAGTAGGAGTGCACAATTCTCCAGTCACAGCAGCTACCATATTTAAACAAATGCAAGACAACTTGGCATTTAAGAACACCCCCTCCCCAGTAATTAGATTATATACATGGGAAATTATAAAGTTGTTATAATTTTCCATGGTTAGAATCTAATTAGTAGGAAGGTCATCTTAAATTTGTCCCTCCCACAGCTGTGGCAGGTAAAGCAGTGGTGGGGGATGAGGTCAAACCACTGTCCCTTGCTTCCCTTTCCCCATGTCCACCTGTCCCTGCCCCTCTGTCCCCACACCCCCTGCTCCCTTCTGCAGGTGGCTCCCTCTTGAACCCTATGCCTGTGCCACTGCTCCTTGCCTCCCCACCTCCTGTTCCCCCTTGCAGCATGCCCCCCCCCTCACCTTCTGCTGCAGTAGCTCTGCTCTGGCTCCAGCAGAACCATGGCCAGCCAAGCCTAGCCAGGGAAAAGCACCAGCAGTCTGGTGGGGGCTGGAAGGACTGGAGTTGGAGCAGAATATAAGGGGAGAGGGGGCAGCTGGGAGGAGGGGAACAGAGTGTAGGAGTGACAGGCACAGGCATGAGCTGGGGAGAAGGTGTGGGGAGGCAGGCGGCTGGTTCTTTTCTTCCTCCCTACCCCCAGCTACAGGGTCCCTACCTCACCAAACAAGCTTCAGCCTGGGGCTCAGGACCAAAGCCAGAGCTGAGCAGTTGGCTGCCTGCCCTGGGGTGGTACTTGAATCCAGGACAAGGCATCTTTTTTGCCACACTGACGGGGGAATAAAATCTTGTCTTCGGTTTCAGTAAATATAGTATTATATTAGAATTGTTGTAGGACTGGCTGTTCTAACTGTACACCACTGAAGGTCTTCATCTGTGCCAGAGGGTCTTAGCAGGCCTCATAAAAACCAAGTCACTTTTGCATTCAGTTGGGTCTAAGATTTAACATACCCCGCCACATGTATACCTTTCATTGTCCGTTTAGACAGGCCTTGCTCTTAGATGACAAAATAATTTTGGTGCATAAACTCTTAAGCATTTTCACTGTTAACGAAAGTATTTGCAATTGTTTTTATTCTTATGTTTATTACAGTGTTCTAAATCTTCTTATTTTCATGACAGACAACGAGCAAAAGATCTTGAAGAAGAGCTAGAAAAAACCATTCGCTCTTACCAGAGTCAGGTACATTTTTGTGGTGGGGGGTGGTATTATCTGCCATTGTGTTTTGGTTTTTACTTTAGTAATATCATCAGCTATAGTCTGATATAATTCCAGTTAGTTGACAAAGATTAACAAATGGTTGGGATTATTTTTAATTAGTTTGTAACTTCTCAGTTGTACCTTTGAGACCATATTAACTTTTGTAAGAGTGTAAGATTCTGTATTATGTATGCAGGAATAGGCTCAAGGCCTTTGTGATTGTCCTAATCAAGCTCTCTTTTTAATAGATTACTTCACATGAGAAGAAAGCTCATGATAATTGGGTAAGTTTACAAGTCCTGAAAAAATTCCACTGTTCCTCATACTTCTAACTAGCTTTCAAAGTAGTTTAACTCTATGGGTATTTTTATGAACAATAATGAAATAACGAGTCGCTCAGAAATAATGAGTCACTCAGAAACCTGCTAACAAAAACTCTTATTAGATAAAACACTATCATTAGTTCAGGTCTGGTTAAATTTACCAGCAACGTGCTGCATAATCACTTGCTGTAGAAGCAAATATACCACAGTAAGACATGATAATTTACAGATGTCCTCTGTTTTGTAAATACATTTTTGGGCCTCTTCAATGCCATTTTCATGCATTACTAACTTGTACTATATCTTATCTTAAACTTTATCTAACAGTAGAAGATGCTATGTCCTGTTCTGAACAGGACATTTTGTTTCCTTGATTTCCACTCCCGTCCTTAATATTGCAAGGTTCTTTTTTTATTTATCTTTTTAAGATGGAAAATGAACATCTATTTAATAAATACTCCAGTGCTACAGAGGATCTGCACATGATACAATCCTATTGAAGTTTGTGGGAATGCAGGCTATGGTATTTTCAGTGGCTTTGGACTGTAATTTTTAAATAGTGGCTTCTTGATCTTAGACTGTGAAGTGGCTTCAGAGCAAACGTAGCTATAATACTTTATTTCAGTGGTTATAGGAAAATGTAAAGAAAGTATACGATCTTTAGCATAAGCACCTAAGTCTCAAAGCCACGATCCAAGGTCTTCCTGAGTGTTGCTGCCCATAGGTTTAGTGTAGTTAAGGTACATTAGTTTCTATAGTCAACAGCATACAGGGAGTGATGTGGCTGTCATGTCCAACAGCTTCTGACTCCCTGGCCAGAATTGTCAGCTTAGTGTAAATGGGTACCTGTGGCACAAGTCTTGAGTGGATTTTAACTCGGAGCTCTAACCTCTCTGCTACTGGGTCTGTTTAGGAGTCAGTCTACCAGAGGCTAAATTATGCTATGAGCTACTTTTATATGGATTCTGTTGAGGCCAGTAGTGCGAGCACGTAACTATAAGAAGAATTTGATGTTTTGTAAGATAAGCCAAATATTTTTTTATTTCAGAAAAGACCCAAAGCCTAGTATTTCACCCCCACTTCCTTTTACCCTTTTGGTCCATCCTGCTTGCACCTTTGTTTTAGAAAATTTTTGGAAACATGGGTGAATTTTAAATTATTTTAATGAGGGTCTTTCATTAGATTCCCAGGTCTTATTGAAAAGACAGGTATCACTCTGCATATTATTTGCTCTTTTAAAATTAACTTGAGACCTGATTTTTAATTGAATGCCTTCACTATCAATTTAAGATTATATTTCACTTGTAACACCCGTTTAGATTTTATAAGGTCATTAGTGCTGATAACACTACTTATCTGCTTTCTTCAGTGGCACTATTTTTTCAGATGGCAAAATCTTATGTGGAGTGTGGCTTTTTAGAATGAGATTCTGAGAAGACTGTGGTCATGTGGTTTAATTATTGACTACAGTGATCATGGGAAAACACAGAAAAATGGCACCACTCTTGTGATATGATCCAAAAAGTCTAGTAGTGGAGCTGCTAATGACTTATAATAATGTATATGACACTTAATTTTGAGCTTGGTATCAAGTAAAATACCTAGGAGTTTTGGCCTAAATCAGAATTTCCTTGTGCATGTTAGCCAATGTTGCTGCATTTTAGAAAGGTAAGTTAGAAGTCTTACAATGTTTTGGTTGAGAAGTTCTAATGTATATGCACATTTTGCATTTTTCTTTAAAAAATAAAAATAAAAATGGTACTTTAAATGTGAGGTATTTAATAAGTAGGGGGTTTTTTCTTCCTCCAAAGCTGACAGCCCGGGCAGCAGAAAGACACCTCAATGACATAAGAAAAGAAAATGCACACAGCAGACAAAAGTAAGTACAGTAGTGTATGGATTCCAAACAAATATGTTGAACTATTTTTGTTCTTTCTAAATGAACTGGAGGAAAGCATAAAAACAGATGCAATCCATTTTCATATGGTGTGAGTACATTTGAAAATGTGTGAGTTATTTTTTCAGATTGCGCATCACTTAATGTGTTGTGGCAATTAATTAATTTTCAGTCTAATATGCTTAACTGAGGACTCCAAAGATTTGTAAAGATGTAGCTTGCCCTGTCTAATATTTTGTGATAATGGAAACATTTTAGAGGGCAGGAACATGCTGAATTGTTGAGATCCTAGACTGAGCAGGAGAGATCTCTTATCCTTATTATGGTAGAAATTGTGCTAGGAACTGCACATTACACCGTTGGTCACAACCTCTCTCCAAACTGTTGTTACATTTGTGGAAGATAGTGGAGTCCATCTTTGGTATAGGTACTGCCAGAGAGAATACTATAGTATTACAGTTGTTGAAAGAAGTGCACAAACCAGAACCTAGCTAGGGTTGTTCTACTTGTGTAAAATATTAAAATCAAATAGATCTTTCAGAAAAGAAACAAAAGCTTCACATCAGGAGCTTGTTAGTACATGTTGTTAACCAGAAACATAGGTTACTGGATTATTACATGACTTTAAAATTAAGTACTGTTGTTTTTTTATAAGATGCCTTTTGACATGGGTTACATGTGACAATAATTGCAAGGAGAAATATTGTAAGGAATTATTATATTCATAATTAGTACTATCTGTGACAATTATTCTTAATTGTAATTACCTAGTCTAGTATCTTTGATACCCACTAAGAAATGAAATTCCAGAAGACTTTTGTTTCACTAGAAATGTTAGTGAAACTGATGCATTACCCGTAAACTCTTATACACTTTTTCAGCTATTTTTTGTTTTTATTTGTAGGTTAACCGAAACAGAATTTAAAGTTGAGCTTTTAGAGAAAGATCCTTTTGCTCTTGATGTTCCAGTTAGACCATTTGGAAGAGGTACAGTATTTTTTTTTTTTTTTAAATGCAGCATCAAGTCCAACTCTTTTTTTTTTTTCTCTCCCCTAAAAAAACAGTGCATACATATTTGTTGGAAGCTTAGGTGGCTATTTTGTATATATAAATGGCACTTTTTAAATAAAAGAATCTATTGTGTATAAATTAGTCACTTCAACATTTTTTTCTGGGTATTTTGTCTAAAAGAATTTTTAAATGTCTTTGAAAGCAGACTGAATATAACACACAGTAGGTCCATTCTAAAACATACAACCACAAAACTCATTTTGCTTCTGACTAAAATTTAGTTTTAAATTTGAAGTAAAAAGTACACTGTATGTACAATCTATTACCACTGACTTTGTGAACTTGAGTATTTTGTTTTAACTATTCCAGAGCATTCCCCATATGGACCCTCACCAATGGGCCGGCCTTCATCTGAAACAAGAGCTTTTCTTTCCCCTCCAACACTATTAGAGGGTCCTTTAAGACTTTCACCTATACTTCCAAGTGGAGGAGGAAGAGGTACAATTCTTAAATTTGAAAACGTATCTATTCTGGATTTCTCTCTCCTCTATTACAAATCTATTCCACTCTTTTTTTTTTTTTTTCCCTCTTGATGGTAACCTAAAAAAGCAGTAAGACAGCCAGTTCAGTATAAAATAAATTCCCATGATAAACTTGAAAATTTATTTTCCCACAATTTTTTGATCACTGATAGATACATTAGCAACAACAACAATGGAATATTCAGTTGTGGCTTTAATCCTTGGCACTGCTATGTGGAAACACTTGGTTGTAGATAACTGAACTGCCAAACTTGGTCTCTTTTTGTTTTTAATATTTTTTTGGTATTCTCAGACAAATGGTGCTTAGCATAGACCCTTTCAAGGGGTAGAATTTCCTATTCAGTATTTATTCGAAGATCAGCAGTGAAGTTGGGTGATTGCATCATTCGTTTCCTGGATAGAAACTGCCTTCTCAAAGAGCAATAACTGATAGCTTGTTGAGGAAGGAGCTCCTGTATTCCAAAAGAATGATAAAAGGTCCTATGGTGTCTTGTGAGAAATTGGTTTCAAGTGGGGTCTGAAATATAGGGGACCTTCCCTCATCTTGGTCCAAATCTGCTGTAGTCGTAGTACAAGGGGATAGCTCCATCCCAAGGATGAAGGAGAGAAGAAGGAAAGGCAGGTGAGCAAGAGAACTCTGGCTCTTGCTTTCTCCATATCTTCCAGAGGGATGTGGTTAAGGGAATTTAAAACTCTTTTCCGTCTAGAAGAGAAATGGAGGTAAAATGAAGTTGTTTTGGGCAAGTGCTATTTCATGAGCCTGGGCTACTTTTTCCTGCCCTTAGCTCCAATTATTTGTATTTTGGGTATGTCTGGCCCTTAATCACTTATTTTTGCCTGTGAATAAGGGCATATAGGCAGTCCTCAGACTTACGACACAATTGGTTCCTGAAAACTGCATCTTAAGTTGAAATGTTGTAACTTGGAACTGATTTTCCCATAGGAAACAATGTTATAAGTGGGGGATTGGTTTCTGAACCAAGTCCCGATACCCTGTTTTCACCAAAAATAACCCACAATTTTGTACTCAATCAATTATAGATGAGTAATATAGCTACATTAATGTATTCATATTGTAAATAGCAATCATATTGATTTGGAAGGGCTTCTTTAAGGTGACTTTGCTGGACTTTTTGAAGGGTTCTTGGCTGGAGTCTTCTCAGGAGTCTTGGCTGTAAGTTTTTTGGAGTCTTGTCTGGTTTCTTAAAGAAAGTGTCCAAGGAAGTTTGGACAGATGTCCTCCGGGGAGATGAGCAATGCAGCCAACTTGTTCGCTGGTGTGGTGTCAGATCAAGCGTTGGAAAGTTGAAACGGTGTCAGTTTATAAACATTGCAATGTAAAACATAATTCGAAAATGTTGTAAGTCGAGGACTGTCTGTACCCCTAATTTAGGCATGGTTGAGGTTCTTGTTCGTCAAGACAAGTAAAATGAAGCAAGATGAGAAATCTGACTGATTAAACTTAATATTACAAAACTTTTCTTAAAGACCAATATTGTTCATTAACTCACTTTAAAATTAGCAAATCACATTCTAAGAAGTCAAAAAAATGTAGAGGACAGTTTGAAATTTCAATTGTAACTATTAATTTACAATATGATCTCTTAATTAACAATATATAATTATATAAATACGGCATATAGTTGAGGTAATTAATTTTATATATAGCTTTGTGTTAAAAACCATCTTCAGACTTGTCTTAAATAAGATGTCAGACTTAACTACTGAATGTTTTTTCTTTAAACCTATTAATAGTGGCTTAAGTAATATGGCTGATTCTGGAGAGGAGAAAAGAAAGTTTATACAAGCAGACTTAAAAGTGCAATTGTACTGTGACTATATATTCATAGTCACATCTGCTTATTTCAGTGACAAAAATAAATATCTACTTTTAATTTGCACAGCAGTCTAGCTATAGGAGAAGAAATAGCTTGTTAACAAAATTGTTAACTAACCTTTAATTGCTTTAATGGCTTTTGTTCTCTTTTCTGTTTTATGCAAGAAATGAAAGTCAAACTTTGCTCTGTTCTAGACTCAATTTGAAATGTTGAAAATTGGGAAAAACTACTGGAGTGAAAAAGGCATTATGGAGTCTATGCCCTTTTTCAGAGCAAATTACACTTTAAAGAAAACCATAACTTAATTTTAAGTCAGTTTAAAAAAAAAAGTTGTTAGAATAGCTTCAGGTGTTGCCCCTGAAATCCACTTCTGATTTTTTGGTGGTCTTATTGCATTTAAAATTCCTTTTTTTTCTAAACAAGGAAACTCTTGTTACTGCTCCTATCCCTTCTGGGGGCTTTTCATACAATGAGGGTATTCATTGTCAGAATAGCAGTTTAAAATATTTAGTGAGGTTTTACAAAGTTCATTTAATCTTTTAATGTGACAGTGTCACTTTAAACAAGCTGACATTGAGGGGAAGATTTACTAGAAATGTGCCTGTTTCTTCAATCAGCATAATGAGGATTATAATAAGCTACTTTTTAAATAAGAGGTGACATACTGAACATACTTTTGTTGAATTAAGCTTATATTCCTCTACCCCATCCCAAAATCATCCTAGATTTTTAAACACTTCCAGTAAACGTGATACCTGAGCTGATGCAGGAATACGTGAACAGTTGAGTAGTGGATAAAGACAATTTGCTCACTGGAGAGTCCCATTGGAACTGTGCATCCTCTACATCTTTTAAGTGTTTCCACTTCTGTGTGATTTTTTTTTTTTTTTTTCCTTCTGACTTTCAGATCTAAGATGAAATCATTTAAGATGATTAAAATAGTTGGATAAATTGGTATCTTTCTTGTTTCTTTAATTAGGATCAAGAGGACCGGGGAATCCAGCCATGTATGAAGGTGCTAATGAAAGAGGAGAGTTGATTTCTGATAGGTTGTCTGATCCCCATAGACCGCCTTCAGATACTGGGTCTTTGTCACCTCCATGGGATAGGGATCGCAGAATAATTCTGCCTCCAACAGGTAAATAAATCTCCAGAGCCATCTGGTATTTTGTAAAAAATGTTATGAAAAGGATACTGGAAACTGACTTTTTTTTATTCAGATACTAGATCTTTTTTTAAACAAGTATAGCCACTGTTTTCTGTCTGCCTTTGTGAAACGTGACTCTGTTTTCTATGCATCTTAGAAGGTGTGCTGACACACTTAACAGGGTCTCTTTATACTGGAGCAGAGTGTTTTTATGATGTGCTCAACATAAAATTCGTCTATAAAATAACTGGGTGCTTGTAGTTAAAATTCTGAGTGTTATTTTATTACAGGCTTGTTTTATGCATTAGAAATTCAAGACCTGTGTACTCTGGAAGCTTCTTGGAGAGCTAGTGGAATAATGACATCACAAGGCCAAAAGGCATCACTAAAAGTACTAGTACTGAACTAGGAGCAAATGTGCGCACAGTAGCTTTTTTAATAAAGGAAGGTAGCAATGTAAAATATAATAAGCTCTTTTTCTAAAAGCACATTGTCTATGATGTAAAAGGGTTATCTGAACTGCTGACAGCATTTTTGGTGTTAGTTCTTATGTTGCCTGCTAACCTCAGTTATTTCCTTTTTGCATTAAAGAAGGGCTTTGTTAAAGATTGAGTCACCGTTTCTTTTTCAACTAATGCATTTAATGGGAACAATGAACTTTTCCCCCAGACTCCACTCTCACTCTTTGGGAAAATCTGCAACTACCAAATAGACATTTTCATGTTTAAAAAGCAAGTGAGGAGAAAAAAATGCACTCTTCCAGAGTATCTGTGTACATCAGGGGTGTCCAACCTTTTTGAATGTGGGGCCGGATCATGAACTTTTTACCACCCAGTGGGCCGGTGAGCCATATTCAAAGACCTCACAGGAAGTGACATCACATCAGGAAGTTATGTCACGTGACCTTTGACACCAGTGAAGTTGCAGGAAGTGACAATGAAATGGGTTTGCTCTGCACGGGAACTTATCCCGTGCCTCCGTCTGCCCTGGCCTGGCCCCGAGGTGCCCCCAGCTTTGCACGGGAACTTACCCCTTCCTCCATCCGGCCCGGCCCCGAGGCGCCCCCAGCTCTGCACGGGAACTTACCCCGTGCCTCCAACCACCACATGTGGGCAGGGTGCAGGCCATGCTGCAGCTCCCCCAGCCACGTGCCAGGGGCAAGGGGCAGAGCCCATCCCCAGCTTGTCCAATCAGGCGCGGCTGGTGCAGCTGCGGCAGGACCCGGCTCACTGATGAGCCGAGCCCCGCGGGGGTAAGCATGTCCCCTCCCCTCGCTGCCAGCTGGGGCCCACAGGCCTGCCTTGCCGCTGCCCTGCTGCGGCTCTGCGCTCTGCTGCTGATCCGTGCTCTGTTGCCGCGGCTGCTCACTCTGCGGTGGCGCCGGTGCAGCCTCCACCACCGTGGCTCCACCGCCATGGCTCTGCGCTCTGTGGTGGCCCTGCCACTGTGGCGACTCCGCGCTCTGCTGTCACCACGGGCCAGATAAAATGGCTTGGCGGGCTGCATGTTGGACAAGTCTGGTGTACGTTGTCAAGTAAAAATAGGCTCAAATGGAATTAAAAAAAACTTCAGATCACCTTTTAGAGCACAATGCTGACACAACTTGAATATAAGCTCTGTGATCATAATGAGGTAGGATACACTAAGTTAGAAGCAAAGCCAAAGTCATAAAAGTCAAACTTCATTTATATTGAGCACATCATATATTTGAGATTATATGGTGATTATTTTAACATAGACCTTGATTCAGCTATTTAACATATGCAAGTAAACCATTGCACCCTGGCAGTGCCCCATCCATTACAGTTTGCATACTAGGAGTGTGTTGTTTTAGCATGCTGTAAATTGGGGGTGTCAAACATCTGGCCCATAGGGCTTTTTCTGGCCCAATGACTGGCTTTATTGCTTCAGGATCTAGCTTGTGAGGTGGATTAGTGCTGCTCCCACTGCACTGACGGGCCTCTGTGCCACTGTGCTGAATTTTCAGTCCCAGTTCTGCATGCAAATTGGCAGCAGAGTTGGGTGGTGAGTTGCAGTGGCATTAAGGCCTGTGCCACAGGCTGTGGCAGCACAACAGCTCTGGGAACTGTGCTGAAAAGTCCCCTGGTCCAGACCTGGAGGTGGGTCATCTGGCTTGCAAGAAATCCTGCAGCCTGGATCCAGTTGACCAGCTCATTTGAGTTTGACAGCCCTGCTATAAACAATGTGTATATATGATAGAATTTGATGTCTCTAGGTTCCAGGTGTAAATTGTTAGGATTGTACCTGCATGGTTGAGTTTTTTATTTCAAGACCATTTCCCTGTATTGATTTTATACGTTAATCTGGGTGTTTATTTAAGAAATCCATAAGAGAAACTGGTAGGCATGTAATTTAAACCAAAAAGAAAAAGACTCTATACCTTTGAGAGTCTTCACTGAACTACCTCCTGTGATTTATTGAATGGTAGGTCAGCCGTATAATGATCCAGCTCTTCCTCCTCGGAGACCAGAGCGATTTTATTCTAGTCCCCCAAACTCTGGAAGACTTTCTGGACCAGCAGAACTACGGAGCTATAACTTGCAGCCTTTTGATAAACCAGGTAGGGATTACTTTAATCTGGTTCCATCATGTTATTCAGTGACGGATCTTACTGTGATATTATGGAAAAATCATGGAGCCAGATCCTCAAGGAATCGGTTTCTAATGGAGAAGTCAGTCCTTTGGGTATATTGCTAAGTGTCCCCTAATTTTGGGTGCTCAGCTTTGAGACATGTAGGCCTTTCCTTTTCAGAGTACTTCCTATTTTCCATGTCCTTGTATATTTCATAGATTCATAGATGCTAGGGTCGGAAGGAACCTCAACAGATTGAGTCCAACCCCCTGCCCTGGGCAGGAAGGAGTGCTGGGGTCAGATGACCCCAGCCAGATGCCTATCCAGCCTTCTCTTAAAGACCCCCAAGGTAAGGGAGAGCACCACCTCCCTTGGGAGCCCATTCCAAATTCTGGCCACCCTTACTGTGAAGAAGTTCTTCCTGATGTCCAGCCTAAATCTGCCCTCTGTCAGTTTGTGACCATAGTTCCTTGTTATCGCAAGAGACACATCTGCAGAACAGAGCATTTCCAGTTCCTTGCTGCGCCCCCACTAATGAATTTGTAGGCGGCCATAAGATCACCTCTCAGTCTTCTTTTGCGGAGGCTGAAGAGATCCAGGTCCCTTAGTCTTCTCCTCATAGGGCTTGGCCTGCAAACCCTTAACCATACAAGTGGCCCTCCTCTGGACCCTCTCAAGGTTATCCACATCCTTCTTAAAGTACGGCATCCAAAACTGGATGCAGTACTCCAATTGTGGTCTGACCAATGCCACATGAAGGGGAAGTATCACCTCCTTGGCTCTATTTGTCATGCATCTACTGATGCATGATAAAGTGTGGTTAGCTTTGCTGATGATTTCATCACACTGACGAATCATGTTCATCTTGGAGTCCACTATGACTCCAAGATCTTTTCCAGGTCTGTGCTGCTGAGGGTCATTTTGCAGCCAGTGGGTATACTGGATATTTTTTACACCCTAGGTACAGCACTTCGCATTTGTCCTTGTTGAACTGCATCCTATTGTGTTCAGCCTACTCTTCCAACCTGTTCAGGTCTGCCTGCAATCATTCCCTACCCTCCAGTGTGTTCACTTCACCCCACAATTTAGTATCATCCACAAACTTAGACAGAGTTTCACATCCACATCCCTGATGAAGACGTTGAAGAGTATAGGTCGAAGGACTGAGCCCTGCGGGACCCCATGCCCACATCCTTCTAGGTCGATACTGACCTGTCCGCTACCACTCTGGGTGTGACCCCCCCCCCCCCCCCCCCACCCCGCCC